TTGCTTGGCCTCTTAGGAGTTTGTGGCTGATTTGGAGGCCTGAATAGCATTCACTGGGGATGACTTTGGGCACACTGCCCCATTAGTAAACATTAAGTCCCTGCTTCATGTCCTAGCATGTTGGAGAACTGGGCCGTGCTTTGCTACTGGGTGGGGTCCCTCCAATGGGCCAAAGGGAACAGATCTGTCTCCTTTGATTAGTATTTAGTCTTATCTCTAAAAGTGGTATCAACACATCACTGGACTATTTTCTTTCATCAGCAACCTAGACAGACCAGTTTAACTTAAGAAGGCCTCAGTGCTGAGAAGATACTGAGTCCTAAGATGAGGGCACAGTTTATAGAAAGCAATGGATTCACTTTTCTGTTTGTCTACTTCATCAGAGGGTGGCCCTCAACCAGAAGCCAAAAGACCTGTTGTTCAGGCCTAGCCCCACAGGGCTACTGTGGCTGGGTTTCCCCACTTGGAAAATGAAAGAGATGTAGCTAGGCCCCTCCCAAGGGTGTTGGGGGATGAGCTCATATCTGCAGAGTGCTTTAGCTTCCAGGCACTAGAGAGATGTGAAGTTCATTGTGAACGTGATGAATTAGATCAGCAAAAATAAAAATCAGTTCCCCCAAGCAAACCTTCTCCAATCCCCGTCTTTCCAAATCCTGGACCATACCAAAAGAAGCCTGGGAGAAAACTTAGTGCCAGCAAATAGACAGATGTGGGGCTCTTGGTTTCAAGGCTATGACTAGGTCTCTCCCAACCTGAGCTAGTAGAGCTGTGTTATGAATGTGTCTTTGCTTGTCACCTCCAGGTACTTAGAACCTTGCTTCAGGGTTGGGGGCATTTTTAAGGTAGACAGTGTGACAAAAAATTGGGAATCAGGGTACCCGAGTTTGAATAATGGTTTTGCTGGTTACTACCTCCAAGAAAAGCAGTGTAATATGGTAGAAAAAAAAAGTATCTGGATTTCGAATGTAGATAATCCTTGCTTCCAAGGACAGAATATTTAACCTGTATTTCCTCATCTGTAAAATAGTACTTGCCCCTCCCGAATTGTGGTAAAAATCAAAAGATAATGATGTAAAACATGTCCCCGTGTAAATATCCATGTGACCTTGGACAAGTCACTTGACTTTAGTCATCTCATCTGTAAAATAAGGAGGTTGGGTCAGATAGCCTCTGTGATCCCTTCTAACCCTAGGATCTCTAAGCTTCCTTCTCTTTCTAGAGCCTATGTTTTCAATTTAGGATCATAGGACCATTGATCTGTAGCAGGAAGGGAGCTCAGAGGCCAACCTTTTCATTTTTCAGATGAGGAGACCGAGGCCCAGAGAGATTATATAATTTGACCAAGGTCACATAGGTAGTCAGCATCGAAGGGGAGATTTGAACACAGGTCTCCCGATCCAAGAGCCAGTGCGTTTTTCCACAGTACTATACTGTCTTCCTTAAAAGAGATCTTTACTCTTACTTTTAAAATTCCCGTTTTGGTAATCTTTGATAAAGATCTGCTTAATTTTACCCCTCTTCTCTCTCTCCTCTCGCTCTCCATCTTTTTCTGTCTCTGGTGTCTTTCTCTGCCTCTTTTCTCTGTCTTTCTCCTCTCTTTCTCTGTCTCTGTCTCTCCTCTCTGTTTCTCTCTATGTGTATCTGTCTTTCTCTCTTCTTTGCCTCTCTCTCTCCTTCCTCCTCCTCCTTTAAATTTGTACAAAATTCCTTCCTACCATTTCTGGGTCTATGATCTCAAGAACTGCCTCTCCACACCCACGCCCCATCCATGCCTCCACCAAGATACAGGTGAAATCAGCCCACAGATATTCTTGAGGACAGGGGACCAGGGTCAAGGGAATCCTTCGGACATCTGCCCGGCAAGCAGCTGCCATCTGCAGGCCAAAAAGGAGATCTCACCAGGCAGGTTCCCGGGAGTCAGCTTCGGGCTAAACAAACAGGGAAGAGGATACTGTGTCAAGAGAATGAAAGGACAGAGGAAGCAAACAGCCATAAGGTTTCCTTCGCTCTCAGCCCCTGCCCTGGCTTGGGCTGGGAGGCGCATCCTGACGCTCTCTGGGGTTTAGAGGTGGGGCTCCTGGTACTGAGTGGTGAGACGAGCAGGTGACTTCCTGGTAACTCTACCCTCCCGACTGATCTCGTCTCCCCTTCCTCCCCCACTCTAGGTGCAGGCACCTGGGGAGGGCATAGCTTTGAAGTCTCACCTGGGGCCTGTCTACTCCTCCTGAGCGAGGCTCGGAGCTGTCTCCCCTGCCACGTGAATGCCTGCGCTCACCCGGACCTGGGACCCCGAGATGCAAGTGTTCCCCAGTCCAGCAGCCGCGGGGCCGAGGTGACGCTCTTGGCGCTTTCTATTGGGCAAGGTAAGAGTTGGGTTAAAGTAGCCACTAAAATTGGGAGGGTCAAAGGAAAGGGGGGCGTTTCTAGGGGGGAGGGACTTCATTTCTAGACAGAATCTGAATTAAGTGATTGGGTCGCTTGTTTTTGTTCTCGTAGATCTTACTTATGATTCTAGGAGCGTGAGTGCTGTTCTTAGGCTATCTCTTTCTAACATCAGCCCCTCCTCACACATCCCTCCACCCACCCCCGACACCTTACCCTAGGCCAGCATGTTTAGCCGGCTAGCAAGCAGAAAGGGTTAAATGCAAGCAGGGTAGCCTCGGAGCAGGTGAGAGAAAGTAGCTTTTAGAGAAAGTAGCTTTGTTCCGAGGGGGGAGGGCAAAGTCCCAGGGAGCCAGAAGTGGCTGGTCTGAGAGTCCTAGCAATGAATAACCCACTGCCGCGGTATGGGGAACTCGGTCCATGTCCTGCTCGTGCTGCTCTTGTTTGGGGACTCTCGAGGCAAGCGCTCTCAGAGGTTGCCGGAATCTCCCATCCACCTGCAGGCTGAGACAGCTAATACGCAAGGTGGTGCGTACACGATGTTGGGCTGGAACGGGAGGAGGGCACGATTGGAGGTATCTGGGGAGGGTGAATAGCCTTAGTTTTCTCCCGTTCCTAGGAGGCTCAGCAATTTACTTGAACAAACATTTTAAGTGCCCACTGCTTGGTAACCCTTAATCTCTTCCAAGTGGGGTGCCTTCTCCCCCTTGAGGCATGGTTAATAATGCATGCACTACCTACCTCACAGGTTGTTATGACAATCAAATGTAATAATATGTATATGTCTGTATACTGTGTGTGTATATATACATGAATGTGTGTGTATATGTATATACATATATGTATGTGTATATATGGGGAGAGAAGGGGACAGAGAGACATAAGTTTAAGAAATAGGAGGTGGACTTGTGATTTCATTAAGGAAGAAACACCCAATGAGGAAATTCCCTCTACCAAAATAAATTGGCACCTTACCTGCAACTTACAGTTTTAAAAGGTTGCCTGGGGCACTAAGAAGTTAATTGACTTGGCCTGGAGTCATATAGCCAGTGGATGTCAGAAGTGGGACTTGTACTCTGGTTGTCTGGGGTCTAAGGCCATCTCTTTATCCACTATTCCTCTTCGTAGACTAAAGTACTACAAAAATGTCAGCTATCATTATTACATTATGAGCAAAGGTCTAAAGTTGACAACGAACCCTGAAATTACTTCATTCTATTTGACAAGCTTCTGTTAAGCACCCAATGTGTACAAGGTACTGGAGTTATGGTGAGATACAAATGCTCCACTTAGACCTAGAGTAGGCCCTTTCCAACTCTGGATCCATGATCTGGTTTTTCTAGGAACTGTTTTCCTGCCCCCATTTCCTTCTTGTCCACTTCAGTACAGGTGAAGTCAGCCTGCCCTCAGTCCTGGCCTTGGGAAGCTTCTAATCTAGTAAAGAGATGTGATATGGGGAGGTTTGGTGAAAAAAGAATGCTAGCTTGGAGTTCAGAGGAGGATGGTTCACTTCCTGTTTCTAATGCTTTTCTACCTTTATGACCTTTGCTAATTCACTTGACCCCCCTGGGCCTCAGTTTCCTCATACATAAAGTGTAGACATTGGCCTAGGTTTCTGAGGTCTCCTCTAGCTATGGGATCCAATCTGATGCGTGTTTATTTATTTTTTTTTACTGTTGTTATTTATATATGATCCTAGAGAGCCAGCTAATCTAATCCCTTCATTTTACTGATATCAGAAAACTGAGCCTAAGAGATCTGCATAAGATCACGCTAAAGTAGTAAGCACCACAGGTGACATTTGAACACAGGTCCTTTAACTCCAGGGTCAATTCGCCTTCTGTTGCTCTGCATTCAGCCTCTTTGTGATGACTTCACAAGAGAGAGGGTAGCAGAGTGCCCTTAGGAGGGTAGCTCCTATTTTAGGGTGGGAGGTATAGGGCTAGGAATAAAGGAAGTTTTCCTGGAATTCTGAGAGAGTGAGGGAACCCCTAACCAGATAACCAACCTACTAAGTGTTTGTTTAAACTGGACCTACAAATATCGTCAGCATAATAATAACAATAATAGCTAGAATTTATGTAGCACTTTAAAATTTGCAAAGCAATTATCTCATTTAATCCTCACCACGATCCTGTAAGGGAGGTGCAATTGTTAATCCCATTTTAGAGATAAGGTCAAGCACTTTGAGTCAAGCACTCCAGCTATTATGCCACCTTTCCTATACCAATGTAGATTGGTACATTCTCTGCATTGCTCAATACATTTGACTGGAGGCACCAAGAGGTTAAATAACTTGCCCAGAGTCATACAGTATGTGTTAGAGAGGGACCTTGAACCCAGATCTTCTTGGCTCATAAATTAGTTTTCTATCCACGACAGCAAACTCCCTATTTAGGACAAGGTTTTCAGATTTTTCGGTTTCCAGGATCTGAATGTCTAGACCCAGCTTGACATTTGGGGATTTGGACCAGGGTTTTGTACTGCCAACAGTACAATAGGACCAAGCTTTAGGAGTTATAGTCTTAGCAAGGAGGCAATCAGTGGACACTGGGGAGTTTGGGCCCCATCCCATCGCATGCAAATTATAGTTCTGGTAGCCCTGGCCAGCCTCTGGTTCATCCTCTTTTGGAAATGAGGTGGGGGAGTTGGTGTTTAAAAGACTTTTGCACTAGGCCGAATCTGAGTTCAAGGTCTGAACTGAAATTAGGAGGAGGGATAGGACTGCAGAGGGCCCTAACAGTCTACTAATCAGTGAATTCACTCTGAACTGGTTTAGGATTTCCCCTCCCTCTCTTTTCTTTCCTTTCATTTTTCATTAATCTCCCTTGGCCTTCACTTTTCCTTGATCCTCCCTGATAGGGGCCCAAGTCCACTCCTCCCTCGGATCTCTAATCCGTGTTTAGTGCCCTTCCTCTTCCCTAACTCCTCCTCTTCTTCCTGCTGCCATACCCTTCCTTACCTTTGTCCTCTTTCCTTCCTCAATAGATGGACAACAGCACTGGGCTACCTGTGGAAGAGAACTCTACCATCCCAAGTACTATGCTAACCTCCCAAATGGCTGAGGGGTTGCTCCATACTAGCATCCTCCCATTTGCTGACCCAGGCTTTCCCACCAGTGGAGATGGCCCTCATCTTAGCAGGGCTTGGAACAGCTCCCAGGGCTCCAAGCAGCTGTTCCTCACCACCGCCCTTGCCCAGGGCATCTCAGGATTGTTTGTGTGGTCAGCCCTGATACTGACCTGCCACCAGGTAAGATTCTCCCCTGCCTTTCCAGATCTCCCTAGACCTGGAAAGCACTTTACATGTCCTCCTTGTAAACACATCTTCCACGTAAAATCTATGTCCTCCTGTGAACAACCAGCATGAAAACTCAACTTATTTTCTATGTCCAGAAGCTCCCCACATCTGTCCCTTGAGCTCCAAACTGAATCGTGGGCAGGGAAAGCAAGTCTTGGGCGGTTAGCATATCATCCTAGCATCTGGTTGGGATTTATAGATCATTGTTTTAGAGCTGGAAGAGACTTTAGACCAGGGTGGGGAACCTGCAGAACCTAGATGGCCATTGAGGCCACAGGATCCCCACCCCTGATTCTAGACCAACCCCTTCATTTTACAGAGAAGGAAACTAAAACCTGGAGAAATGAAATGACTTGTCCAGGGTTACACAGATCCTTATGTATTCTGACTCCAAATCCAGCATTTTTCCATTATATCACATACTGATAATAAAGGCTTTTCATTACCTACTCTATGCAACGCATAGTTGGGGATACAAAATTTCTGTTTTCTAGGAGCACATATTTTAGGAGAGGAGATAGAGTATTTATCAATCCGTCAATCAATAAACATTTATTAAGTGCTTACTATGTGCCAGGCACTGTGCTATGCTCTGGAAATACAAAAAAATCAGTCCCTGACTCCAAGGACCTTGCAATCTACTGGGAGAGAAAACAAGCAAACAAATATATACAAAGCAAACTATGTACAGGTTAAATAGAAAATAATTAACAGAGGGAAAACACCGGAATTAAGAAGGCTTCCCATAGAAGGTAGGATTTTAGTTGGGACATAAAGGAACCCAGGGATTTTAGTAGTTGGAGTGGAGGAAGAAGAATGTTCCAGAAATGGGGGATAGCTAGAGAAAATGCCTGGAGTGTCTTGTTCATGGAACAGCCAGGAGGTCAGCATCACTGGATCAAAGAGTATGTTTCATCAAGTAAGGTGTAAGAAGACTGGAAAGGTAGGAAAGAGTAATGTTATGAATGCCAAATAGAACATATTGTGTTTCCTCCAGGCAATAGGAAGCCACTGGAGTTTGAGTTGGGGGTAACATGACTAGGCCTGTGTTTTTGGGAAACTTATTTTAGGAACTCAATGGAGAATGAATTGGAATGGGGACTGACTTAAGGTGGGCAGACCCATCAACCAGGCTATTGAAGTAATCCAGGTGTGAGGTGATGAGGGCCTGTACAGAGGAGTGACAGTGTCACAGGTGAGATGTTGAAAAGGTGAAATCAACAGGCCTTGGCAACAGATTGGATATAGGGGGTGAGAGAGACTGAGGGGTCCAGGATGATTCCGAGGTCTTCCAGCCTGAGGGACTGGGAGAATGGTGTTGCCTCTTTGGAGGGGTGTAAAGTTTAGAGAGAAAGATAATGACTTCTGTTTTAGACATACTGAGTTTTAGATGTCTACTCAACATCCAGCTTGATCTGTCTCAAAGGCAGTTGGAGATGGGAGATTGGAGCTCCGCAGAGATTGGGGCAGGATAGGTAGATCTGAGAATCATCAGCATATAGATGGTAATTACATCCATGGGAGCTGATGAGATCAGTGAGTGAAGGAATATAGAAAGGGCCCAGGGCAGAATCCTGAAGGACACCTCTGCCTAAGGGACATGATCTGGATGACAATCCAGAAAAGGAAATTGAGACTAGGTAGGAGGATAGATAGGAGAAGAACCAGGAGAGAGTGGAGGAGGAGAGAGCAATTGACCAGCGTCAAAGGCCGCAGAGAGGTCAAGGAGAATGAGGACTGAGAAAAGGCTGTTGGATTTGGCAACTAAGAGAACACTAGGAACTTTAGAGGGAGCAGTTTTGGTGGAATGATAAGATCAGAAGCCAGATCGTAAAGGGCTGGCTGAGAGAGTGAATGGTGGACACATGTAATGTAGACGGCCTTTTCTAGCAGTTTAGGAGCAAAGGGCAGAAGAGATATTGGACAATAGTGGGGACAGAAGGATCAAGTGAGGGTTTTTTCAGGCTAGGGGAGACAAGAGCATGTGCAAAGATAAGTGACTTTATAAGGTAATATATTCTAATAACAAAAGAAGTTATTCTGGGTTGGGACAAAGAGAGGTAGTGTGGTATAATGGCTAGAGAGTTGACCTTGGCGTCCAGAAGATGTGGGTTCAAATCCAGCCTCAGACACTTACTAGCTGTGTGACTCGAGGTAAGTCACTTCACTTCTGTTTGCTTCAGTTTGCCTCATCTATAAAATGGGGATAATAATAGGCCTCCCAGGTAGATAGGTAGCTAGGTTTGTTTCGAGGATAAAATGAGAAAATGATTGTAAAGCACTTAGCACAGTGCCTGGCACATAATTGTTGTGAAGATCAAATGAGATAATAATTGCAAAGCTCCTGGTACATAGTAAGCACTATATAAATGCTAGTTATTATTCGTATTAGAAAGCTGACCTTGGAGTCAGAAAGATCTGGGTTCAAGTCTTGTTTCTAACATACCGTGGCTATGTGATGCTTAATTTCTCAGTGCCCGAGGCAACTCTTTAGGACTATAAGCTGCAGGGAAGGTCCCAGCCTACATTGACTGAGGGAGTTTCTTCATCCATTGAAATCCCAGCCTGATCCTTATCTCTCAAGCAGGAGGCAGTACTTAAACTGGGCCTGGAAGGAAGGGTATGATTTAGAAAAGTGGGGAAGAGAGTGGAGACCCTTGTAGGATGGAGAAACAGGACGTGCAAAGATGCGAAGGTGACGATGTGCGTGGGCAGAGAAGAGAATGTCAGTTCCATGTGGACATGGATTGTTTTTTTTTTCTTTGATTTTTGTATTCTTAATAGCACAGGACCTGGCATGTAGTAGGCACATAATAAATGCTTTTTGCTTGATGATGTATTCAGGGGATAATGAATCGACCAATTTGATCCAAAAGAAAACTCACGTATGACGATAGTTTGGGCTAAGTTTATTAAAAACCAGCTAAGGCATTATTCTAGTGTAGACAGTAGAGAGTCAGGGAAAGTTTTTGAGTCTGGAGGTGGGAAGGAGTAGCAATGTGTGTATCATGGGGAGAGAGTAAAGTACAAAGCCATGTTTTAAGAAGGTGGATCTGGCTGTGGGGTGCTGAATAGGGAGAAATTATAAACAGGAGACTGTTGAAATAATCCAGGTGAGAGGTAATGAGGGCGTGGACTAAGGTAGCAGGTAGTAGGAGGAATAAAATAATAATAGCTGATAATTTTATGTTTTATGGCCAAGAGTCAGGTAAGTCAGGTCAGTCAGGTCGTGCGAGTGTCATTAGTTTACAAATGAGGAAACTGAGGCACAGACCCCAGGAACTTGCCTGGGGTTACAAAGGAGGGGAAATTTGAAGGATGAGTTTTGCTAACTGAAGGATAAGAGGCACAGACCCCGGGGCTGTGTCAGGTCTTTGGTGTAGGTGGCAGTTACCACCCTGCAAAAGAGACAGCCAGCTTCTCTTGCCTCTGCTTCCCACCTGCTTGGGAACTCTGACACCTTGGAGCAGGGAGCATGAGGGAAATGGGGCGAGCCCGGCACTGAGCACCTGCTGCTGGAGCCGAGCCCTGTTGTGGGGGTGGGGAGGAGAGGGAGGGAGGGTGTCACAGGCACAGGGAAGGCTCCAACTGCCACCAGCGTGATAGCACCAAGTGAAAAGGACTTTGCCCCAGCTCCGGGGAGGATGCCATCTGCCCCTCCTCCTTAAGTGCCCCTCCCCCAGGCACAGGTGGATCAATCAGTCGGTCCTGGGTTGGAGAGTAGCAGGTCCCCTCTATGGCAAGGCATGCTTTATGTAAAGCTCTTGTGGTGACTTTAGTTCCTGTCTGGACATCCCCCTGCCTCCCTATTTTTTAATGGGCAAAGTGATGAGTCTGACCATTCAGCATCCTTTGTATTTCTACAGCCTGCAGGTGCTCTGCAAAGTACTTTCACAACATCTCTATGAAGTAAACAGGGCAGGAATTATTATCCCTACTTAACAGATATAGAAGCTGAAGCCCAGACCTGCTTAGTGAACCTATAACTAAGTTTACCTGGGGAAGCTGATGTTAGAGCTGGGCTCTGACATCCTTAGATGTATAGGATACTTCAAGGCAGTTTGGCTTATATCCTCCTCTAAGAGAAGTTGCAGAAATATCTAGGGGGTGCAGTGGATAGAGTACCAGTATTGGAATCAGGGGGATCTGAATTCAAATCCAACCTCAGACTCTTATTAGCTGTGTGACCCTGGGCAAGTCATTTAACCCTGATTGCTTCCAAGTTTAAAAAAAAGTTATTATCCCCATTTTATAGATGAGGAAACTGGGGTTCTGGAGAAGTGAAGTGACCTCCCAAAGCCCCACAGCTAGTTAATACAGGAGCCAGATTAAGAACCCAGTTCTTGGGGCAGTTAGGCGGTGCAATGGATAGAGTTCCGGCCCTGGAGTCCTGAGTTCAAATCTGGCCTCAGACACATAACACTTACTAGCTGTGTGACTGGGCAATTCACTTAACCCCGATTGCGCCTCTCTCTCTCTCTCTCTCTCTCTCTCTCTCTCTCTCTCTCTCCCTCTCCCTCTCTCTCCCTCCCTCCCTCTCTCTCCCTCCCTCCCTCTCTCTCTCTCTCTCTCACACACACACACATATACATACACACATACATATATATACACACATACATACATACACACACACATTAAAAAAAAAATTAGAACCCAGGTCTTCTGACTCCTAGTTCTGTTTGTTTGTTTCCTTATTTCTTTGGAATAAGCTTGAGAGCAGGCTCTGTTTCCTTTGTGGTTTGTATCCCTAGTACCTGGCACATAGTAGGTCCTTTTATAAGTTACTCATTGGTTGCTTGATTGATTTGTCACCCAATCTTTCTTTTTCTCAAGCATCTATCACAGTTTCATGCATGTAGTGGGAAGCTAGATGACGCAGTGGAGAAAGCACTAAGCCTGCAGTCAGGAAGACCCGAGTTCAAATCCAGCCTCAGATATTAGTGTGACCCTATGTGACCCTGGGCAAGTCATCTAACCTTTGTTTGCCTCAGGTTTCTCATCTCTAAAATGGGGATAATTATACCACTTACCCCCTAGGGTTGTTGTGAGGATAACATGAGAAAATGATAGGTAAGCAGTTAGCATAGTGCCTGGCACATAGTAAGTGCTATTATTATTATTGTTAGCTATTATTATTAACAGTCAATGTTTGTTGATTGACTAATTTTTATTTTCTATTCCTCTTTTCTTTTGTTATCTGTTAGCATATTGTACATCCCCTGTTGGTTAGGCTGAAGTCTTCTCATTGGCCTAATCTAGTAAAAGACGTAGGGAAAGATAGAAAATTGGAATCATGCTGCATTTTTCTGACTATGTGTCAGTCACAGACTTTCAGAGTTGGAAGGGACCTTCGTGTCCATCTAAACCATCCCATATGCATCTTCCCCCCCCCCAAGAATCTCTACTAAACCACCCTCAATACGTGGTCATCCATTCTTTACTTGAAGACTTTTAGGAAGGGAGAACCCACTTATCTCCCAAGCTGACCCATTCTACTGTTGGATGACTTAATTGTTAGGATTATAACAAGCCAAAATTTTCCTCCTTGCAACTTCTACCCCTTAGTCTTGGTTCTGCCCACTTGGACCCAAATGGAACAAGTCTAATCTGTTTTCCACATGACAGTTCCTTAAGAATGTCTCATGTTTTTTCTGAGTCTTCTCCAGGTTGTTCAGTCCTGTCTGGCTCGTCCTCATCCCATTTGGAATTTTCACGACAGAGGTACTGGAGTAGTTTGCCATTTCCTTCTCCAGTTTATTTTACAGATGAGGAAACTGAGGCAAATAGGACTAAGTGACTTGCTCAGGGTCACATGACTAGTAAGTGTCTGAGGCCAGGTTTGAATTCAGGAAAGTGAGTCTGTGCACTATGGTGCCACCTAGCTGCCTTCTTCTCCAGGTTAAACATCCCCACATCTACCAACCACTCCTCACATGGCGCAGTCTTCCACTTATCAGTGTCCTTCCCAAAAAGCAGTGCCCTGACCTGAACACGATACAGTGAAGTCATATCATATCATAAGTTTATTCAGCATCTACCCTGCCTATGGTTGTTGTGAGGTTAAAATGAGAAAATGATTATAAAACACTTAGCACAGTGCCTGGCACATAGTAATAGGAATGCTACTTTTTTATTAGCTATTACTATTAATAGTCAATATTTGTTAATTCATTAATTTTTGTTTTCTATTCCTCTTGTCTTTGTTACCTGTTAGGCTGAAGTCTTCTCATTGCCTTAATCTAGTAAAAGCTTTATTGAAAGATGAATAATTGCACTCACTGGAATGATGCTCCTTGGCCAATGAATGGCCTGTTAGTTCTGGGGTGACTCCCTCCCCATCTCGCTAGAGTTCCCCAATGAGCTTGACTGAGTGAATGGGGCACACAAGTTCCAACCCCAGAATTCAATCTTTGGGTGAAAGGTCTTGGGGCTGTCTACATTTCTTCTGATCCTTTATCTTTTCTTTTTCTTAACTTTCTCCTCTATCCCTGATCTCTGGGCATGCTCATATCCCTGACCACGTTGATGGGGAGAGGTTCTGCCATTTGCCATTGATAAGAATATAAGGCAGGAGTCTCTCTTTAGAACCTCAGCACATTATAAGATACAGCCCCATTATGCTCCAGAATATAATCTCACCAGCACAGAGTATACTGGGACTCTTGTCTCCTTTTTCTATTGGGCTATTAACATGACTCAAAATTTCATTAGCTTTTTTGGGCGGCCACATGACAATGTTGACTCATATCAAGTGTCCCCTCCACCAGAAGCCTCAGATAGGTTTTAGACAAGGCGCTGCTCTCTTCCACTCCCATTGCCCCCATTTTTTACTTGTGGAGTCTATTTCTTGAGCCTAAGTATAAGACATTTATCACTATTCCATCTTTTCAGATGTAACTCAAAATTCTAGCATGTCAAGATCTTTTTGGATTGGGACTCTTTTATTTGGTGTATGAGCCATCCCTTTTAGCTTTGTGTCCCATGGGCAGTTCATAAAGATTCTGTCTGTGCTCTCATTTAAGATACTGATAAAAAAAAATGTTAAATAGCATGGATCCTTGGAACATGCCATTGGAGAGCTCCTTATAAAATGGTCAATGGTTAATGGCATCTCTTTAAGTCTGGTGTTTAAACTAGTCCTCAGTCTGGCTAATTGGGCTATTATCCATTTGTGAATTTTGTTCAGTCACAGATCTCTTTTGTATGAATAACTGGGAGCTGATTAGAGAACTTGGCATTTGATGCGGGTCAGTGTCCTCAAGCTCTCTCCGTTCTTTCCCTTTTAAAAGTCACTTCTCTGAAGGGAATGGATAAGTGAAAGGTGCAAAGTGACTGATGAGTCTTTGTGTATTTGCCCTTCCCAGAGGTATTTACATCTTAAGGGTGGAAGGCAACTTTCCTCCGCTTCAGTTATCAGACATTTATTAATAAATCATTCAATCAGCAAATAATTTTGCTGGAATTTTGCATTCTAGCAGGAACTCAACATATAAACATGAGGTTGAAGTATATGCAAGGCATGTTCAAGAAAAATGCAAGGTAATTTCGGTGGAGAGGAATCTAGAAAGCTCACCTGAAGGGGGTTGGTGGAAAACAGTGTTGGTCACTGAGAATACAAAGATATTTTGTCCTTTACCTGGTCCTTTACTCTTAAGGAGTGTGCATTCCACTGGGTTGGAGGACAATATGGCAGGTACACAGATAAGTATAATACAAGGTACAGTGTGATTCAGTTCAATTCATCTAGCACTTATTCAGCATCTACTATATGCCAAGAATTGTGCTACTCCTGGGAATGTAAGGACATTACTTCCTTTCCCTGATGAAGCTTTAAGAAATGTACCTATCTAGATATAGATAAAATACATTTCAAGTAAATATGAAGTAATTTATTAGAGTCCTAACAATTAGAGGCATCAGAAAGAGCCTCTGGTAGGAGTTGGCATTTGACCTGAGCCTTGAATGATGGCTCCATTGAGGTGTTATAGAGGATAGAGTGCTGGGAGTCATGAAGATTCTAGTTCAAATCCAGCCTCAGATACTTACTGGCTGTGTGATCCTGGGCAAGTCACTTCACCTCTGTTTGCCTCAGTTTCCTCATTTGTAAAATTCAGATAATAATAGTACCTACCTTCTAGGGTTGTTGTGAGGATCGAATGAGATAATATTTGGAAGTGTTTAGCACATAGTAGATGCTATATAAATACTTATTCCCTTCCTTCTTCCTCCTCCCAAGAAATAGAAGTGAGCATTTGTTGTGGAGGCAAAGGAAAGATCACAGCTCTGGAGGAGAACTCAGAGTCACTTAGTTCATCTCTCCCTCTCCCCTTCATTTTACAGATGAGGAAACTGAAGCCCAGAGAGGTTAAGTGATTTGCCCAATGTCACACAAGTAGTAAATGTCAGAGTGGGGATTTGAACTCAGGTCCTCTTTGCAGAATTCTTTCCACTATATCATGCTGCCTTTTAAAGTACTCTAAGATAATCTGAACGATATAGTACTTTAAGGTAAAGTGAAATGGGTCGGGGAGTGACTTCCCTTTACCCCTCAGGTTGCAGGCGGGGCACTTTTACCAGGCATAAAGGTGGCCCACTTACCTTCCTCTTCCCCTCCCATCAGATCTACCTGCACCTGAGATTCTACACTGTGCCCAATGAACAGCGCTACATCATCCGCCTCCTTTTCATCGTCCCCATCTATGCCTTTGACTCCTGGCTCAGCCTCCTTCTCCTTGGAAGCCATCAATACTATGTCTATTTCAACTCAGTGCGGGACTGCTATGAAGGTGAGCCTATGCCAGGGTGTGGGGAGAGATGCCTAGAGGGGCCCTGGGGATACTTAGGGAAACTGAGGCTTCAGAACTGTGAGGGACCTTAGAGGTCACATAGAACAAGCGGTCCCAATCTGGGAAGTGCGTACCCACAAGGGGTACAAGAAGCTTGTCAAGAGGGCTCCAGGGAATATTTGGTAAATAAACCTATATTGTCCTATTGAAATTAATTAGCTGATCTGTTTATCTTATTTCTTAAATTCTTATGCATGGTAAGCTCTAGAAGTTATTTTCTTTCATATTGAATGGAACTTTATTTTTGTATGCAGTGATACAAGGTAAATGCTAGAATTTATTTCCTTTTACATTGATCTCTTCATTTTCTTATGTTCCTATATATGATAAACCCTTGAATTTCTTTAGCCAAGGTGTAGGGGACCAAAAAAGATTGAGATGTCCTGATATGAAATCACACAGCCACAGAATCTTAGAGTTTGGAAGGTCAGAGGCTACCTTTTGCTGTTATTTAATTGTTTTCAGTCGTGTCTGATTCTTTGTGACCCCTTTTTGGGGTTTTCTTGGCAAAGATACTGGAGTGGTTTTGCTGTTTCTTTCTCCAGCTCATTTTACAGATGAGGAAACTGAGGCAAACAGGGTTAAGTGACTTGTCCAGGTCACATAGCTAGTAAGTGTTTGAGGCTGGATTTGAACTCAGGTCTTCCTGACTCTAGGCCTAGCACTCTACTTTGCCACCTAGCAGGGGCTTCCTAGGCTACCTACCTTTTTCAATCATATGTGAAAAAGAACATCCCTACAATATATCCAAAAAGGAGGCATCCAAACTTTCCCTGAAATAAGGAAACAAGCATTTATTGAGCACCTACTATATGCCAGGCACTCTGTTATTTGCCTTAAAAATGTTACCTCCTATTTGATTTTCAGAACAACCCTGAGAGGTAGGGGATGTTAATTATACCCATTTTAGAATTGAAGAAACTGAGGCAGGCAGCTGTTAAGTAACTTCCCCAGGGTCACACAGGTAGTAAGTGTCAGAGTTCAGATTTCAACTCAGGCCTTCCTAACTCTAGACCCAGCATTCTCTCCACTGCACCATAGAGTTGCCTCTAGTAAAGATGACTTCTAATAAAGAATACTTCTAGTGAAAGAGAGCTTTCATTCTACTTTTGGATAGGTGTTAAGAAAGTTCTTCCTCATGTCAAGCTCTGGGACGAAGTACCGTGAGTCCAGTCCCTTTTCTATATAACAGCCCTTCATTAACCTTAAGACAGAAACCAGATCCCAACTAAATCTTCTCTTCCTTGGTTTTAAACATTCTCAGTTCCTTCAGTTAATTTTCCTATGGCATGATCTGGAGGGGAGGCCTTTTACCATCACTGTGCTCTGGAAGATCTCCAGCTTTTTTTTCATTCATCCATTTATTTATTTATGACATTAAAAAATTTTTGAGTTCCAAATTCTCTCCTTCCTTTCTGCCCCTCCCCCACCAATAGGATATCAGTTATACATGTGAAGTCATACAAAACATCAATCTTCAGCTTTTCATTCATTCATTCATCTGTTTATTTATAACATTTTTTAAAATTTTAGGTTCCAAATTCTCTCCCTCTTTGCTGCCCCTCCCTCACCCAATATGGTATTAATTATATATGTGAAGTCATACAAAACATTGATCTCCAGCTATCATTCATTTATTTGTAACACTCATTTTGTAAAACTTTTGAGTTCCAAATTCTCTCCCTCCTTCCTGCTCCTCTCTCACCTGATATGATATCATTTATACATGTGAAGTCATGAAAAGCATTGATTTCCAGCTTATCAATGCCCCTCAGGAAATGTGCCAACCAAAGGTGACCACAGAACTTTAGACGTGGTTTTACCAGGGCAGAGTACAGGGCAATATCACCTCCCTCAAACCTGGACACTAGGCATGTTGTACTACAACCTGACATGGCTTTTTTGGATTTGTTACAGTCTCAATGCCTATACCATGTTACTGCAATTTGCAGTAAAACCCCCAAATCTTTTTTCTCTGCCCTCTAGCTATTCTCCCCCTCTCTTGTCCTTACAAAGCTGATTTATTTTTAAATAAAAATTTAAATTTAAAGCCCAGGGGTAAGACTTCACATTTATCCCTATTGTATATCATCTTCTTAGATTCAGCACAGTGTCCTAGCCATATCATTTTGGATCCTGACCGCCTCATAGAACACATTAGCTATCCCTCCTCTGTTTATGTCATCTACAGGTTTGAGAAGCATGCACACCCAGACCCTTGTCTAAATCACTGACAAAGTGTTAGACAAGCCCAGATCCCCGGAGCGCTTTGCTGCAGACCTCTTTCCAAAGTTGACATCCAACCACCAAAAAAAGATGATCAGTTATGAACCCTTCATTTTACAAAGGAAGATACTAAAAGGTCTGGAGAGGGCAAGTCATTTGGCCCAGGTCACACAGCTGAACATCAAACCCATATCCTCTGACCCTAAATCCACATTTTTCCACTATGGAATACTGATTCTCTGCTGGTCACAAGAGATACAGAATTGGGCCAGCCTGGACCTCCAGCAGCATCTCAGCTCCCTGGCTTTGTTTCCATGGCCAGCATGCCTTTGGGACTTGGTTTTATTATGGGTTGGATCTATTAGGGGACTTTTTTTTTTCTTAAAGAGGCAGGGATCCTTATTAGAGACAGCTAGGTGGTAAAGTGGATAGAGAGCTGGCCAGGAGTCAGGAAGGCCCAAGGTCAAATCCAGCTTCAGAAACCTAACTATGTGACTATGAGCAAGCCACTTAAAACTCTGCCTCAGTTTCCTCATTTGTAAAATGGGAATAATAATAATAGCACCTACAACGCAGGTTTGTTGTGAGGATCGAATAAGATTGCTTAACATAATGCCTGGCCCTTAGTAGTAGGTGCTTAATAAATGTTCTGGGTTTGCCCTTGATTACAGGCCAGAGGCTACTCATAAAGGAGAGGGAAAAATGCCTTTCTGGTGCCTATACACACAGTTCTTAAGCCAGCAGAGATCACAGTTTATTCTTATTACAAAGGACCCAATTCAATTCAATAAACACTTGTTAAGAACTTATCCGGACCTAGAGTCAGGGGGACCTGTGTTCAAATCTGGCCTCAGACACTTACTAGCTGTGTGACCCTGCACAAGTCACTTAACCTCAATCACCTCCAAAAAACCAAAAAGGGATGGAGGAAGATACAAGGAGTAGTAATATGCAGTCTCTACCTCCAAAGAGTTACAATCTTATAACAGTGATGGTCCTTACATTAACAAATATAATATAAAAGAGTATGCATTATGAGAGAGAGGTAGAACAAAGCACTTTGAAAATTCACCATATGAACTGGGCTTTATAATAACTCCCAATTACATATATAAATATAATAACTCTCTCTATATACATATAATTAATGAATAAAAACACTTTCCTCACAACAACTGTATGAAGTAGGTAGTGTTAGTATTATTTCCACTTTATAGATGGAGAAACTGAGGCTCAGAGAACTTAAATGACCTATTCTGAATCACACATGTAGTATATGGAAGAAGTTGGATCCAAACCCAGGACCCTTGATTCCAAGTCTAGTATGCTTTCTACTATATCATGCTGCTTAAGTAGGAAGGAAATAAGTATGCATTAAGCACCTACTATGCACCAGGTACTGTGCAAAATGTTTAAAAAATATTATTTTATTTGATCCTGAAAGCAACTCTATGAGTTAGGAGCTACCATTATCCCCATTTTACAGATGAGGAAACTGAGGCAGACAGTGGTTAAAGTGACATGTCCAGGGTCACACAGCTAAAAAATATCTGAGGTCACATTTGAACTCAGATCTTCCTGACTTAGGCCCAGAGCTCTATCACCTGTACTGCTTAGTGTTGAGATTGAATTTGGGCCAATAAAGATTGTTGGGCCCGGAGCCCTGGAATCCTGCCTCTAGCACTCACTTGTTGTGTGACTATGGACAAATCATTTAATCTTTCTGTGCATCACTTTCCCAATAATACCTGCAGTATTTAATGGCGGCATGATATAGTCAATAGAAGGCCAGTCTTGGAGTCAGGAAGACCTGGGTTCAAATCCTACCCTTGACACATAACATACTGGTTGGGTGACAGTGGACAGAGACACTTAATCTCTCAGTGGCTCCAGGCAAATCTCTAGCACTAAATTGCCTGTAGGAGGTGCAGTGAGACACCAAGTTCAAAAGGGCTGCTCTCTTTGGGGTATATTTACATGGAAGACATAAGAAAAGGAAAGGGGTTGAAAATTTAAAAAGATATAGTCCCCTTCGAAAAAAAAGGAGAGTTCAGAAAGCATGAGAAACTTGAGGGAAGAAAGATTTGGTACTGGTTTTGGCAGTCTGTCCTTGTGTAACTCTAAGCAGTTTGTACTTTGTGAGTATCTTGTTGTTCAGTGGTGTCTGGCTCTTTGTGACCCTGTGGACCTGTCCATGGGGTTTTCTTGGCAAAGATGCTGCAGTGGTTCACCATTTCTTTCTCTAGCGGATTAAGGCAAAAAAAAAAAAAAAAAAAAGTTAAATGACTTGCC